GGATGGATAGATGGATAGATGGATGGATGGATGGATGGATGGATGAACAGATGGATGGATAGATGCATGGATGGATGGATGGATCAATGGATTGATGGATGGATGAATGGATGGATGGATGCATGGATGGATGGATGGATGGGTAGATGGGAATGGATGGAAGGATGGATAGATGGATGGATAGATGAACAGATGGATGGATGGATCAATGGATAGATGGATGAATGGATGGATGGATAGATTCATAGATGGATGAATGAATGGACAGATAGATGGATGGATAGATGCATGGATGAATAAATGGATAGACATATAGATATCTCAACATTATCTACATTGAGCATTAGCCTCTTGCTACAGGAATGACAAAGTAACTGGGCAGGCACCCGTCTTCTGCCCACCCACCATGACATCCTTCGGTAAGACTGGAATTGAGTACAGGCAGAGATGAACAGTGGGATGAATTCTGTCAATATATAAATATATGCATAAGAAATATGGATATATATTATGTTTTTCCACCATTCTTTTGTGTGTGTGTGTGTGTGTGTGTGTGTGTGTGYGCTCCTGGGGATGGACCCCAGAGCCTCGCACATGCTAGTGCAGTGCTCTACCGTGCAACGACACCCTGGCCTGACTTCCAACAACTTGGGGGGTCATACGGGACATGGGCCCCAGGTCCCTGATTTCTCATTGAATTTTTCTGAATAAACAAAGGGTCACAAATGATGGCCCACGGGGACAAATCCATCCCACGACCGGATTCTGCAGCCAGTTCACCCCCTTTCATGTTCCAGTGGCCCAAAAAAATAACATCTGAGAGATGTGCAGAGTGTAAACCACGCCCTGATCTGGGCGTCCACCAATGAACCGTCTTGGGACACAGTGACGTGCGTGCATTCCTGGACCTGTCACCCACGGGTGCCTTAGGGCTCCGGTGTCCACGCTGGGTACTTGGGAGGCAGATGGCCTGGCCCGAAATGGGGACGACCACATAACAAATTTGGGTGAAGGTGCATCTTGTTTAAGATCCCGGCCACCATTTCTTAGCTTCCATCGGCACCCTAGAAGCATGTCCCCCGCCACGTGCAGAGGTGACATTTGAAGCGGCAATCCATCTTCCAGAGTGCCTCTTCACCTTAGATTCTTGCACAAACGGAACGGGCTGCTGTCGAAGCCCATCTTTGGCTTCTCCTTGCTGCGGGGATGACGCTGGAGCTGGCACGGTCCCGTCTCTCTGCCCACCCACCGCGACATCAGTTGATAAGACGGGGATTCAGCGGCCGTGGATCTGAACCATCGGGTGACCCTCTCTCGTGACCCACGCAAGATCCAAATATCATTTCCCCGTTTGCTTGGCCCACACACCTTTCGGTCTCAGAAAGGAGATTTTTAAAGGGATCCGTGTGTGAGCTGTACTCAGTTCTACATTATGATATCATCATTCTTATTTCCGGCATTGTTTCCTTACCCCACGCTTTTTTGGAAATGTAATATTTGCTGATCTTTTCCCCCCAATGCAAAATGCATGATCCAGTCTCCTGGCCAAAGCATTCAGAATTCCACGAAGCATCCCATGATACCCAATTTCCAGCCACTTTATACTTGCCATGGAGTCATGATGCATGACGATATCGGTCACGGTGACTATCCTGGGGCACTGAACCAGCCCCATAGAGCAGGGCTCACCAGTGAGGGCCACCGTCTGCTTTGGTCAATAAAGTTTTATGAGAACACATTCTGGCCGTCTTTGGCTCCTAGATGTCCCCCCACCACCACCATCTGCCCGTGGAAATGTGTTCCCGTCGGCCCTGTAAGTCCCTCTCTGGGTCTCACTTCCTGGTCTCAGGAGGACAGCCGTCGCCCTGAGTCAGAGACAACCCCGCACACCAGGGTGAGCCCATCCTGAATTTCCTGATGGCGTCTGTTAACAAATCGACTCTTCTCTGTCCCCTGCAAAACACGTGGACGCTCTGAACGGCCTTTGGGCTCTGCCCAGCCAGAACCTCGCCGCAGAAGCAGGCCATCAACCCTGGACTTCGGGAACCCAAATCAACCTTTTTTCTTAGTAACTCGTTCAGTCTTTGGTATCATGGGATCAAGCAGCAGAAAACACAGCAGGAATTATCATCCAGAGGCGTCACTGTATAGGAAAGACCCAGTGCCTCACGCCAAGGTCACCTAGGAACACGGGTCCAAAAACCACAGCCGGATCTCAGCTTCCCCAAATCCCCTCCATAAACTGTGACCTGGCCCCAGAAAGCAGATGAAAGCAGGAGATAATTTCTATTCTTATTTTTTTTTCCCAAAACATAATTTAATTTCAAATTCTGATTGTGTTGGAATTCGGATTTTATTTTCAAATCGTCACTAATGCACAGCAGAGAAATGACAGMTGCACATATTGACAATACGCATGACGTTTGGACCTAGGCGGACGTTTAGAAATAGGTACATCAAGCTCACGAACGGACCCATCACCTCAAACACTTCTTTTTTTTTTTGGGGGGGTGCTATCAGGGACTGAAAAAATGGAGACGGGCTCCATTTTTCTCCCTTTAACCCTTTCACAGGGTGACGCTCATCTGGTCGACCCTTGTTACCGTTTGCATGTGAGGAATCCCCCCACAAAACCCCCATTTTTATGATCAAGGTAAAYTGCCTTCATCTTGGGAGCCATGACCACACCAATAGGTTCATCCATTTGGTACCAGTGATCCAAATGGACCAGCAAGGTCACGACTCTAGGCAGGTGGGGTGTGGCTGGAG